ACAACTTCCGAGGCGGCAATAGGTTAGTCCTTGTGCAAGCCTGTCACCGATTTCCTCGGCAATGCTCAGGGATTGCTTGTAGTACTCCATTGCTCCTGCCGCGTCGCCGAGGGAATCATGAACGTCGCCGATGCCTAAATAGGCATGTCCTTGGCATCTTCTGTTACCGACTTCCTTGGCAATGCTCAGGTGTTTCTTTTGGCACTCCATTACTTTTTGGAAGTCTTCAAGGTGGTGATAAAGATAGCCGAGACTGTAATAGGCTTTGCCTTCCCCTGCCCTGTCACCATCTTCCTTGGCAATGTTGAGGTATTTATTCATGTACTCCATTGCTCGTTGGTTTTCGCCGAGATGTAAATAAATAGTGCCGAGGTTGCCATAGCCTTGCCCTTGCCTTGCCCTGTCACCAATTTCCTTGCCAAGGATGATGCATTTATTGGTGCACTCTATTGCTCGTTGGTATTCGTCGAGGTTAATATAAATATGGCCGAGTTGGCAATAGGCTTTGCCTTCACATGCCCTGTTACCAACTTCCTTGGCAATGATGAGGTGTTGATTGTGGCACTCTATTGCTTGTTGGGATTCCCAGAGGGAGCCATAATTCAAGCCGAGATTGCCATAGGCACATCCTTCACCTGCCCTGTCACCAACTTCTTTAGAAATCCTGAGGTCTTGATTGTGGTACTCTATTGCTCTTTGGTAGTGACCCAGGTATCGATAAGCACCGCCGAGCTGGCAATAGGCACGTCCTGCACCTGCTCTATCACCGACTTCCTCAGCAATGCTCAAGTATTGCTTGAAGTACTCTATTGCTCGATGGAAGTCCTCGAGGAAGTAATAAGCTCTGCCTAGATTGTAGTAGGCTTCTGCTTTCTCTTCCGTGTTTTTATTGATTTGCGCTATTGTAAGACGCTTGTTTAGTTCAGCTATATCTTGTAGTATTTTTTCTGCCATTTCCAAGTTTTAGTATTCAAAGTGGAACTGTTTCTTGGCAGTAAGGTCTCTTTGAGGATCGTTGAGGTGGGGTAAAACAAAAATAATTTTCATTAATACATTTGGAGTCTTAGAATACACTGTATGTTCCCATTAGACAGATAAGACATGACAGAACTTTTCACAGTGACTCCTTCCTCTCTAGATTTACTCCAACTAACTCTTCTCCGGAATTTTTTTTGACAATTTCTGAATATTAGTGTTATAAGACAATATTTCTGGACTCCCCGCGGACAATTACTTTGAAATAAACATATAATTCCTGTCACAAACATCGCCGAGCTTGTTGAGTATGTGCTACCCCCACGTGACAATGACGTTACCAAGCCTCGTGCGCTGAATACGTTTCTAGATGGACTTGCAGAGTTAGGAGTCGATAAAGGTTTAATCAAGAACAAAAAGTTGCTGGGCGATTTAATAGAAAAGGAATAAGGCTAGCGAAATGCAGAAAATACTTCCGATAACGAGAGTAATAATGAGGAGGGTTCATTGGATATTTAAAATTAGGAGGGGAAGGATGAGGAGGAGGAGGAAGTGGCTTCTGAAAATGGTGTTGAAGTTGACACCCAAGAGAGCTACAGCGACACTGAAAAACGACCACAGTCAGGAAACAGAAAGTAAAGGCCTTGAAACGTCCACCACCTTTTACTCTGAAAATCCCTGTGAACATTGTGAGAATTCTAAAGTGTACGGAACATTGATCGTGAAATGTCCTAACTGCTTTTGGCACGATTACTACAAGATTTGTCCTATCTGCGATCACCAGATCCCCGAGGAGAGAAATTACATCAAAGAGGGCTTTCTTCGGTGTCACGATTGTGGAGCAATTACACACAAAAAAGCGAAGACGTTAGAAACCAATTTTTATTCCCCTTCTAAAGAGGAGAACGAAGAAGAGGATTTATTTTTCATTCGTTTCAAATCGCTGTGTATTTGACTCTTTTTGTCATTGGTTTTCAATAAAATTTTTAAAACGGTATCTCGTGTCTGGATTTATTGTGAGCGTTTATTAGTCGCGTGTTTTAATTGATCCTTCTTACGTTTTTTATTGTTTTGTGCTTTTATAATAATAAGTCAAAGTTCAAAACATGAGTCCGCTGCCCGGCGACAATAACATTACATGCAATTTTCAGAGAGACCACAAACTAGCAAACCACAACAAATTTTAAATTGTTTGCCTTACATAGAGCAGAAATAAAAGCGATTTAATTCATAAATAGTAATATTCCTGAAAACCTTCCTGGCAGTACAGTTCACCTAGTCCCAATGAATATTGAAAAATTTAAAAGACAGCTGTTTGAGGGAAGATGTCTTGACTAAATAAGTTCCTGACCTCAATTTCTTATTAATCGATGCAAGACTTAGTTTCAAAAATTTATGCACAAAGCAGGGCTTTCTTCGTTAGCTATTGTAATCAAAATGAAAATTGTTATAAATCTCTGACGTCTACAACATGAGAGATCCACATTTAACACAAACTATCCTGAATATCCTGCGTTGCTTGTGTGAGGAGGGGTAGGGGTGGGGGGGTTGGAGGCGGGGGAGGGATGGAAAAGACGTAGAAGACAGTAGCGGAAAAGGGAGACAACGAAGGGAGAGAAACACAAATCGGTCAAAAGAATATTCTAGTCGGACGTTTTGCTTAACATGGAACAAACATACTTTGCTTCGCGGTCGCAAACCGGTCTAAACTTATTATTAATTATTTCTAAGTGAAAAGGAGAGGGAAAAAACTACAGCAGGAAATCAAAATAAACTTGCAGAAATATCTGATTGGACAAATTCCAAGTTAAAGGAGATTATTTCTTACCTGGACGATTTGATCTCTGTGAAGAAATTTTCGACGGAGTTTTGAAGTGTTCTCCATTGGTTGGATTTAAATGCAGAGGACTGTCAAATATATAGGGTGGCTGATAGAAACAAAAAAACCACAAGACAACAACAACAGCAACAAAAATAGCAGAGAACAAACCCAAAACAGAAAGACATAAGACAAAACGGAAACCCAAAACGGAAAAACACTACCAGAAAACAGAAACACAAATCCCAAAACGGAAATAAGCATCCCCAAGAGGAAACACACTCAAAAAAATACAAAATTAAACCGCAAAACTGAAACAGAACCCAAAAATACAAATCATAGCCACAAAAGACGAAAACAGAAACAAGGAAATAGTGTAAAGCTATAGTTTCTCATGTTTCATCGTCTTTTTTTAAACAGGCGTTTTACGTTTTTTTAGGGAGAGCATGATCGTAGGCTATTATTATACAGGAACATCAAACTGTACGTAAATCAATCTCGTTCCCAGCCTATCTCTTCTCCCCGTCGCCTTTCGCTCCAGGTGACCGGTATTTTCGTCTCGGAGGTGTCCAGTCAATTTTAGCCCGCCGGGTTCAAAACCACGTGGGGTACGTTTCTCGATCGTTCTGGTACCTTTTCTAGTCCAAAGCAGACAACCTAACGTGAGACCTAACTACTAACGTATGGCGTTCAAAATACAGAGATTGACTCTGACTAAACGTCAGTTGCTCGAGATTTAGCGAAACGTCATTTAAAAAGCTATTTGGCGTACTTTTAAAATTTGTGGGGGTTATCTTAATTGGCTAAGTTGGTCAATTTAGGTAGCACTAATTTCAAAGTGTAAATAGAGAAAAATAAATTTGTTTTCGGGTATTTATGTCCGGCTATGTAACGTAGCTTAACGTAGTGACGGCGAATAAATTTACAAAACCGTGTGATGCACGTGCAGAGTTATGGTTTTGTTTATTGAACCCTCTATCAAGAAAACATGCGAATGCGGCCCCGTTTATATAGAGAAAAAGTTTCCCGGGGTCACCCTCCCAGCCCTAGTCAACTTAAGCAAGTGTTTATATGAGAATCAGTTGACAATTTTGCCCGAGCTGAAGACAGCGCTCTCGCATCTTCTGATTCTCTCGCCTTAACCGAGTTGAGCCGGCTGGTCAAGCCAAGTGTTTACTTGGAGAAAAGTTGACTTAGCTAGGAAGGTGGCCTTACCATCGAAAAAGCTAAGGGCTCTATCCGAGCCCACTATTTGTTTTTTAGTGTAATTAAAGGCCAAGTTTCGGTAAGGAAATGTAGCAAATGTTGGCTCGCCCAGGATAGCTCGGGTGGGCGAGTGACTCTTCAACCTGGGGCGACTTTTCTTCATATAAGGGGCGACCTTGCAGCTCTTGGAAGACCTCAGGGTATTGGTTGGGAAAACAATAAACAAACAAAGTTTGGAACCTAGCTCGAAAACAAAAGAACTGCGACCCATAGGGGTCTATTCTGAACTGCTGCAAGGCTACTGGGGCCACGGGGCCTAATTGGCTATTTAGACGACGACTTGTTTTTGCTACTAAAGAATTCATTTCATTTTTTCTTTCATAATTAAATTTGGTAATCCCACTGAGGTTTAAATAACGAAAGCCCTAACTTGCGGAAGAAAGCAAAACCCTGAAGGAATCTAATATAGTAAAATGACGCCATCGTGCAAACGGCCCTTTTTAGAATCCTTCAGAATTTGGCTTTCTCATGCAAATTAAGGCTTCTGAATTTACCGAATTTTAATATGAAGGAAATTAAGAAAACGAAATGAATTTGGACATATTTGTAGATTGACAATCGTGAAAAGCCCCGTCCGCACAAAATCCGGATCCGGAGGCCTTCCGTCTGGTATTCCTTCCACACATGAAACCAGTGAATCCTCTCACCGAAACATTAGGATGATTTTTCATTTTACGTTAGTTGACGACGGGAGGGCGCGCGGAAAGGACTGGACGCGATTTCCGGTGTTCAATTTGCTGCTCTCCCATTGGTCGAGCCAGTTGTTTGATTTGCGCGTGTCGTCGTCAACTGACGTTCTCGTTCTATTGCTAAATCAGCCTAATATCTTTTTGAAACCGCTCTCAGGGGTGGTTTAAGGCCTCGTCTACACGAATCCGGGTAAAAAGATATGCTGTTTCAAAAATTAGTCTGGATTCGTGTAAACTCGGCCTAAAATAGTTCAAGGTAGCTTTTGCTGGATCCAGTCAAGAATGTCCTTGTAAACCACGCTCGCAGTTTCTTCCACCTCATTCAACAGTTCATGGCGTCCATTTTTGTACACCTGCAAAGGAAGTTTCACAAGCAGTTGAGTTAATAATGAAATAATAATAGGTAGATTTAAAAGTGACAACGGGAAGGAAAATTGGCCGAAGAGGGAAAACTCTATATTATTCTTTAGACATCAAGTTTGGAGACGAGAAATTCTTCTTTGGTGATTATTTTATAAATTCTTATAACCTTTTCCGTTGAAAACTTGGTGACATCGTCAGGAGAAAATTGATATTGGTCACTCTTGGGGCTAAAAAGGTTTAGACAAATCACGACTGTTGTTGGGATAAGTTCACAATAATTACGCTTGGAAGAAGGCGGCCGAAACTGCTACTCCGGGCAGGACAATAACAACACTTTAACAAACGCCGTTTTAAGACCGCCTCTTCCTGCCATCATGATATACCGCGTCAAGCGCCCTAACTATTCGTCGGAAATACCCATAGAGAGGCTATTAGTTCGCTCAATTCTGTCAGTATAGCAGCTCATTCGTGTACCTTAAATGTCTTGTCGTTACTGGGAGAATTCTCATGTAAGTATCGTGAACCGTCAATCTTCACTAATTGATCTCCATCACCATGGACAAGTAGATAGGGTGTTGTAAGCCTTGACAAGTTCCTCTGGATTTCATTAATTGCGTTTAATATAGCTCCAACCCATCTCACTTTCATTCCCTCATGCCAGTTTAGGCCATCATTGACATACTTTTCAACCTAAAACAATAGTAATAAACAAGGTGCAATGTCGGCTATTGCCGAGTCCTAGACTTGCCAAAATGCAAATCGACCGCGAGAACAAGAAGGCGCGAGGGACACCCGGTACTCAAGAAAATTCGACTTTCTGTAAGACTTATGGTTATTAAATGGATCCTGAAAAGAAATGAGTGACATTGAATTTTATACGGGGACGCTCCAACCCTAAACAAACACGACGAGTTCCTTCAACGATAAATGTGTAAGGAGTTAGGTCTCGGGGTAGTGCCTTACCATTTAAACGTTGTTGAGTAGCTCCCCTTCCCCACCGGGGGTATAATCTTAGGGCTGATTAACTGAATATGACAGAATGACCCTTGACGAACCCGCTGTCCACCAACGTTACTAGTTCATTGCACAGTCATGAAAGATGGAAAACGTCACTGAATTCCTGACTCAAATTCCGAACGACATGTCATAAACCATTAAACTGAAAAACGTTTATTCAATCTCCACCCAAAATATTCCAGTCAGTGGTATGAAATGTCGAGTGTCGCGATCGGCTTGAGGGAATGGACACTGCATCATTCGGCAAACTCCAGAAATCACCTGAATATTTTCGGCATTGTTCGAAAGTCGTGGAAATTTTTTTCGGAAACGCGGATAAAATGCATACGAAAGTTCCACTCCTTCGACTCAGGAAAAGAGAGCAGTTTTCAGTTGTGTTATTCGCCTTTTAGAAACGAGAAAGGAATTTTATTGCAGAAGAAATTTGACCCGCGATTGTTTATTGGATCGTTACTGGGGTCGCGCCAGTCAGCAATTGGCCAATCTTTTTCTCTGTCCTTAGTAACAATCCCAGAACTCTTTGCGAAAGTACCCTCGGCTGAGTTTCAGGATCCTGGCTTAAGACTGACGGATCAATCGATGGCCTGATCTGGTACGAGGGCATTATCCATGATACTATTCTTCCTACACAAACCTGTAAGATACAAGCATTATATTCGTTATTTGAGACCTTTAGTTTTCAAGACGAGGACGACAACGAGTAATACTAAGCAGTGCGCGCGCATGAACCAGCGTCATTTTGGCGGGAAAACGTGATAGTCGTCGTCATTCTACTACGAGTTTTGCCGAGAATGTCGTTGTGACGAAAACAAGTTATCAAATGTTAGAAGCTAAGTTTTATTATTTTCGGTCCGGAGAGGGCTTAAACTCCTTCAATTAGTAACAGTGCTAACTTTTCTGGTGAATCAAAAGTACAATGGGGCTTTCCGGGTGTCTATTTTTCTTTTTGAGAAGAGCGAAAGTCGCACTCCTAGTAGTTCTCGTCCTCGAATCTAAAGGTCTCTTTTAACCAAGAGTGAGGTCCAGATATTGGCCAAGTTCGTTTTTTTTTTTTTTTGCGTTTTTATATATGGAACAATCACTACTGTATTAATTTCGCACCTCCCCCTAGAAGACAAGGTTAAAAACTTGACTCGTGATGAAATAATCTCCTATTAAAATAATCATCATATTCCCTTCCCTTCGCCACTAGAACTTTGTACAAAGTGCGTTTCGACTAGTGATTAATCAGATATTTATGTTTAAACAACATGTGAATTGACTATAAAAAAACTTCTGCCCCCGCTAATATTTCATGTCTAAAAACTGTTTTATCTCACTCTGCATAAAGCTATGGTAAAACGGACAACAAAAACGTGACACCTGTTTTACAAAATTGTTAGGAAACTAGTTGAAAAGTGATTTTGCGCATTTTACTACCCACGAATGAAGCCTCCCTTGCAGCAAATCAGGTTTAAACAAGCTGCGAAAAAGTTGTTGCAGAAACTAGACAGAAGTTCTACTTTTTGCGTCAAAATCTGTCAATGTTGCGGGTTTTAATTACCGACCCAAGGCAAACTTGTTTTAGCAAGTGACGTAACTGCTGTGTCTGGCGTGACTCCCGCGTAATTTTATCGAATCAGGAGTCAGTATTTACGCAACTTGCAGCACTGAATCTTATTTGCTACGAGACCGGTTTGATTTATGGGCAATAAAACGCGTAGCATCGCTTTCGGACTCGTTCTGGAGCAATTTGTTGCCCGTTTTACTGTACCTTTAGCCTCGTTTTTAAAGTGAGAGTTTTTGGAACTCGGAAATGGGCTATTATAGCCTGTGATCATGCCCTCCCTATAGAAAAAACCGCCTGATCGCGGGTTAACATAACTAAAAGACGATGAATCATGAGAAACTATTGTTTTACACTATTTCCTTGTTTCTGTTTTGGGGTTTTTGATCATGGTTTGTACTTTTGAATTCTCTTTCAGTTTTGTGGTTCAGTTTTGTATTTTTTTGTACGTGTTTCCGCTTTGAGATGTTTATTTCTGTTTTGCGATTTGTATTTCTGTTTTCTCGTAGTGTTTTTCTGTTTTGGGTTTGCTGTATCCTGTTTTTGCATTGACGGTGTTTTTTTGTACGTGTTTCCGCTTTGAGATGTTTATTTCTGTTTTGGGATTTGTATTTCTGTTTTCTGGTAGTGTTTTTCTGTTTTGGGTTTGCTGTATCCTGTTTTTGCATTGACGGCACCCTAAGAAAGAGAAACAGTCTTTGCATTGTGTTTTCGTTTATTATTTGTAGCAAGTGGAGCAATAAATTACCTTGCAAGGTTGGTATCCACTTTTATGCTTGGTGCACTAAAAATAGCACCCGCAAAGAAATAAGGTCTTTCCATAACACTGAGAACAGCTATTGTACCAACCTAAAAAGAATAATGCATAATATTACATGTAATAATATCATAACATGCAATTTTCAAGGTGCAGTTAATTAAACCACTGTAAAGGCTAAGACTTTATGGTCACTTACAAAAGGTGGTCGCTTACGACACTTCCTTGGAGTAGATTTCCGGGCACATCTACTTTAAAGCAGATAATTTACTGCACCGATTTCTTTCTCAGTTACATGTTGTTACTTAAGTTCTTCGTATACTCCTAGTAGCATACAGCCAACATAAGAGTTCAGACAAATCGTTAAGGGGTCGCTTTTTAGGAGGTTAAAAACAATGGGAAATCTCTTTAACGCGGTCGCTTAAGAATGGTGATCTTTTACGAAAGGTAGTTGTTTACGAGAGGTGGTCGCATATGGAGGTTCGACTGTATCAGTGTTTTCGTAATATTTGATTTAACTGCATTGAAGCCAGAATTGAAAAGAGTTAAAAATAAGAAAACCTGAAATTCACAGGTTATCTGTGTTATCAAAACAAACCATCAGCAGCGCGACATTAACCCACGAAAATGAAAGGACTTCAATAAAAAGCGGCTTACCTTACTCACAATATATGTAACGTCTTTCCTGTGTGGTCTGCTGGTCGATTTATGGTCTTTTTATGGGCTTTAGTGTAACCAGTTGAGAGAGAAATTAAAGTGGCACTTGGAAAAAATTATGTTGTTAGTAAAGAATGTTACCTTTTTACCAGATATTTAGAATTGTTAAGGCTCATAAAGAAATACTATTCAAATTTTTTCTTTACCATTTTTTTTTTCTAGGCCATCCCTTTGACGAAATCATTTTATGTTTGAAAAATCTATGTATTTTCCTGTAATTCCGGATAATTCACACGATCTTTTGAGAACTAGTGGTTCTTATGTTTTCTACAAAATGATTTTTTGACGTCATGGATCCATGAATCAGGTTTCATCTATCACGCCTGTTGAATCCGGGGGGACTCCGCATATGAAAGGGGTGGAAATGCTCGTCGTCTCGCTTAGGGTTGTAAATTTCGGATTTTGGGCTCACTTAGGGTGTGCTGGGCAAAACGCCACCATGTTTCGTTTAGGGTTGCGCGCGAAAAAATATATAGAGGATATTACACGGTGGCGCGAAGATATGAATTTTATTTTCGAGTGGCAAAACAATATTTTACGAAAGAACGCAGCGAGTGAGTAAAATATTGTTTTTGCCACGAGAAAATAAAATTCATATCTTCAAGCCGCCGGGTAATGTTCTTTTTATTATATAGACAAAATGACATCGATAAAATAATAGAGGGAAATTACCAAAATTACGTCATCGATAAACTCACGTGTGAGATTATGGAAAATAAACCACTCGTGTCCCGGATGTAGTTTTTATGAATTTTACGAGTGGTATATTTTCCAGTAAAACACCCGTGTCTATATAATAAAAAAATATATATATTTGATATGTAAAACAAAAGAAGCAAGGCCGATTTTACAGTCGGGAATCAGTATATAATTTTACCAATATTTCGGAAGGCACGACCTTCCTTCTTCAGGGTCTTACATGTAAGAAGAAGGAAGGCCGTGCCTTCCGAAATATTGGTAAAATTATATATATTCCCGACTGTAAAATCGGCCTTGCTTCCTTTGTTTTTGATATCTTCACTTATTGCTGATTAGATCCTTCATTAGGGTCCGGTCCTTCCTTTTTCGTAAGCTGGTCCTTGTTTCAAAAGTTGATATTTGATACGTATATTTTTAATTCGTTTTATTTACTCCATTCAAAAACTCCAAGTTTTCTATAACATCAATACTTAAAGAAGACGTCTTTGTCCATTGTTTTACAAGAGTGTAATGAGATCAGGCCCAATTTTAGCGGTTCTCACACATTCTCTCTAGCGGCTACCGCTAAAATTGGGCCTGTTTTCGTTTCGCCTTGCCCGCCGGAATGTTATTACGAAGCGAAACGAAGATTGAGCCTGATCTCAGGTTACTTTTAGGGGTCAAAAAAAGCTTGGGCTACACCCAGATCGGTCTCCTTTAGGAGTTGAATTCAAAATTTCTGACGAGCATCCCCACCCTTTTCATATGCGGAGTCCCCCCCCGCCCCGGGTGTTGAATAAAAGGCGAAAAAGCAAAAAGACAGAAAAAAATACTCAGAATATATTTATTATCTGTCTTAAAATTTGTGCTCGTAACGTACGAAAGGAATGTTTAATTAGCAATACGCACTATTAGAATCACTGAGAATTTAGTATTACTTTTGAACGATAATGTAGTGAAATTGTTCTTTAGCATGGAAACTTCGGTCGACAAGTGTGCTTGTGTATATTTTGGAAAACTACGTCCGTGAATCACGCACGTAATATCTTGACGATATGTTTCTTCGCCTCCATATATGGAAAGTGGTTCCTTTGGGAGTTTACGGATGGACACGCACCCTCAAGCGGGGGCGGGGGCGGGGGACTTCCATGTTTTGCTCACTAGGTATGTGCCATTCTGCATGGTATAAGTTTATGGGATCTTGAATCTTAAAAAAAGTATTCAAAAGACCTTTTTAGCTTGTAGGTTTTGTTTTCCCATTACAGATCATGTGATGTTTAATACCCCAGAGAATTGTTTCTTTTAAAATAATGTCGTCCTATGCACGTGCATATGCGTGCATGATTATTACTAATGAAAAGACAAAAGGCAAATTCCCGGGGGGGGACTCCCATATGAAACAGACTGGGATGCTCGTCGGAAATTTTGAATTTAACCCCTAAAGGAGACCAATCTGGGCGTGGCTTAAGCAAATTTTGACCCCTAAAAGAGGCCGCTTAAGAACACACCGAATACGACATGCAATGAGTTTTAATGATATAAAGACATAACAAACAAAGTTAAAAAGAAAATTTGATTTCTGTTTGTCTTCGCGTAATTCTGTGTTTCTTCGCGGAACCCTAAACGAGACCTTAGCGGCTTAAAATATTGGCGCTTTGCGCGGAACACCCTAAGCGAGACCAAAATCCAAAATTTACCCCCCTAAGCGAGACGACGAGCATCCCCGTCTGTTTCATATGGGAGTATCCCCCCGGGGGCAAATTCCCTTGAGAACATCACGTGGTCTGATTTGGGAAAACAAAACATACAAGCTAAAGGTCTATTTCCCCGGGGGAGGGACTCCGCATTTGAAAGGGGTGGGGATGTTCGTCGTCTTGCTTAGGGGTGTAAATTTCGGATTTTGGTCTCACTTAGGGTGTTCTGGGCAAAACGCCATCATACTTAGCCGTGAAGGTCTCGTTTAGGGTTGCACGTGAAAAAATATAAAAATATGTGTATTGTCTGTGCTTTAACATGGTCTCTTTTAGGGGTCAAAAAAAAAAAGCTTGGGTTACGCCCAGATTGGTCTCTTTTAGGGGTTTAATTCAAAATTTCCGACGAGCATCCCCACCTCTTTCATATACGGAGTCCCCCCCCCCCGAGTCTATTTCACCTAGGTTCTTAAACAGGGTTGCAATTTTAATGCATTTTGCCTTAAACAGGGTCAGAATAGAAGGGTTTAGGCAGCACAGCCCCAACCAAACTTCCTTTAAATCTCCCCCCCGGCTTATAAATAACGATAACTCGGCAAACCCGGCTTTGCCAGTTTTTTCCGCGTTAAAAACCGTAACACGTAAGTGGAACCTCTATTCAGGGAACACCCTAGGGACCATGGCAAGGGTCCCTTGAATAGAGGTGTCCCCTGCTGAATAGAGGGGTTTGTTAATAATTAACCAACAAAGACAACATAAAAAAATCGTCATTAACTCCTCTCTACGATAGACTACGAGCAGTCTCTCTTTTTTCTGTAGTCCGTCAACGAGCAAAATGCGAGACATGCAAATGGCCATGCGTGTGACTCGAGAGAGGCTGCCGTCCTCGTTTCTCGCGTCTCGCGGCTTCGCCGCTCAATGCTCGCGCGCGCGTGCACTCCCCTTATTAAAGCTGTAGAAGAAGAGAGACTGTCCCTTCAATAGAGCTGGTAACAGATACAAAGATTAGGTGGGCGTTTTTCTAGGACCAAATTGTGTGTCCCCTGAATGAAGGTGTCCCAAAGGAGAGGTTCCACTATATTCATTGAACCCGTCTTATTTTCGTTGGTTACAGAACTGATCAGTGTTTCCCCATTCAAATCATATATTTCGCATGTTATGCAATAATGCCAAAGTTCATATTTTTAGCTTGGCCTGCCTGTGATGGATCCCAAGATTTTCAAAAGGGAAAAGAGGTGATGGCAAAACTTTTTGAAGACAGGAAGCAGAAAATGCTGCATTTTAATGCTACATAAGAGATTAAGCAACCACGGGCGTAGCCAGCCTACAGACCTGTACGTCCAGGCCAACAATTTTTGGTTTGATCACTCTACCACTTGTAACAAATTATGCCTAGCTGGGGTGAGCTAAGAAGCTTAACAGGTCAAAGTGATGGTGAGGTCAGTGCAGGCCTACAACTAGCCGAAAAGCTGGCTACGCCCCTGGCAACTGTATAGATAATAAGGTACAGTAGCAGTTATATACCGTAGACCATAAACCACTGTACAACAGTATTTTTTGAGGAAAATATTTTTAAAAAGTAGACTGCAACATCTTCATTACCAACTTTTAATCTTTTAGTTTACCGCTCGTTAAGTTGGGCAGGCTCTGAAGTTGCTACTTTTCGAGATCTTCATCAAAGTTATTAGTGGGGCCATGGAGAGGACAAGAGGGATGGGGGCTAGGGATAATACACAGTTGAAGGGGTATGTGGGGCAGGAGGGGTACATAAGGCAGGAGGGGTACATAATGCAGGAGGGGTACAGGGTGGGAGAAAACAGGATGGGAGGTGGGAGTTTGAAACAGGTGGGAAGCAGAAGAAATAGGAGGAAATTATACAACAAAAATCAATGTTTTGCAATCGACCATGACCTAAAGGGACGACGTAAGTAAACAAAAAGAGTCAAGAGGTTTAGCCCACCTGTCCTACCCCACCCCCCCCTTACTGGGGGAGTCATATTACCCTCTTCTCATGATTAAAAATAGATATAGCTATAGAAAAATGAGGTCCAATGTGACTCTTGGTTTAATGTCAAATTCTTTATTTTTAAGTTTATGGTTCATGTTTTTGCCGTCAAAACAACCTTCTAGATCCAAAGGACTGAATGCCACAAAGTAAGCCCATCACCCTGTGTAGCTAGTAACTACCTTTGAAGCCAGAAGTACAAAAATCAGGAAAATTAGGCATGTTTTCTCGATAGTTAAAATGTTAAAGAATATCAATGATGCTACTAAAAATTTATTGTATCTAAGCACGTGCTAAATTTTAATGCCTGCTGATGTAATTCTCCAGGGTTTTTGGTACCACACCCAAATAAGGAATTCCAAACTTTTTGACAGCTTTGGCACTGATACACTTTAACTCCAGTTTTCTCCTCTCTGAAAGAATCATGCGAGCTTCATCAGTTTTAGCCATGTCCATGGGTGTTTTACCATCATTGTTGACAAAATCATGATGAGCACCTCCATAAAACAAAAGCTGCAGGATTTCAGTAACAAGATAAAGTTTGTCATTCCTGGGTTCTAACATGACAGCTATGTGAAGTGGAGTGTTTCCTTCATTGTTGATGACAATAAAATAATTATTGAACCCTTCGTTCAAAAGAAGATTCACTGCTTGACGACAAGGAAATAAATCATCATCATCATCTGTGCACCTTTCAATGAACTCATGTAACAGTGTATTTCCAGATCTGTTTCTAGGATCCTGCATGAAAAGTTTCCTCAACAACATGGTCAAACTTGAGGCATTCCTCTCGTCACAAAATTCAGATTTTGAAATCATGAGCACAAGTTCAAGTGAACAGTCAAAGAGATCCTCCCGGACCAGCTGTTGACAGTATTGCTTGTTATCATTTCTTCTTCTCTTTGTATGTTGCTTCTCATACTCGATAACTATTTGCCTCAGCAATTCAAGCAAATCCTTTTCTTTTAGATGATTACTCCCGCTGCAAATTTTATGCAGTAAATGACTTATTTCTTGAAAATCATCAAGGGAAGATAAATTAGATTTCTGTGCTATATCCACCGCACGACTATACAATGCTATTAGTAAGGATGGATCAGTAAGGTTGCAACTGCTACAAACAAATCTAATTGATCGAAGTAGCTCACTGTGGTTTGTTCCAAGGATTCTCTCTTTAATAAGAAGGGATTCCATTAGGATAGCCTCAGTGTCACCTTCTATCTGAGCAAGTTCCTCAGGGGTTTGGCTGTCTTTTCTGTTGCCATAAGCAGGTTTCTTCGGTTGTGTTAATATAGGCTGAGATGGATCCACAAATCTCTCTTCCATGCCACGCTTGATGTACATCAGTCCTTCCGCAACAAAAAAACTAAGAAGACTAAACTCTTTATATTGAGTGGCACGAGAGGCACCAAGCAGCTCTAGAGCATCCACTCTTTGCTCTTTTGTTATTTCTGGTCTCTTAATTAAATACTCCACCACTCCAATACTTGCACTAATGCTGGCTTGATGAAGCGGTGTTAGTCCTTTGTTGTTGCACATGTCGGATGCCCCAAGATTTAGCAGCATTTTAACAATCTCAGGAAAATCAAACGTTACTGCATAGTGAAGAGCTGTGTCACCATTGTTGTCTTGAAGATCCACATTAGCTCCATGTTCGATAAGAAAGGTCACTGCCTTCACATGGTCATGCACACTTGTTTCTTCCACAAATTTATTGCGATCAACACCTTGTAAACTAAAATAATTATTAATCTCATCTGAGAGATTAGGACCTTGTGCAGCATATTGAAGTGCTGTTGTTCCAATTTCATCTTGAAGGTCCACTTTAGCTCCATGTTCAATAAGAAATGCCATAGCATTCACATGACCAAAATAGCTTGCTAACATCAATGGGGTCTCATAACGAAATGTAAATGCATTGACATCAGCTTCATTTTTTATCAAACAATTCAAAACCTCAATTGAGGCATGAGGACTATACATTAGAGCATAATGAAGAGCTGTTTGACCATCTTTGTCTTTAAGATCTACATAAGCACCACATTTAACGAGAGTGGTGACTGCATTTATATGACCATTTTCAGCTGCTATCATCAGAGGAGTGCCTTTATTTTTTGCACATGCATTGACATCAGCTCCAATTCCAATCAAATAACTCAAAATCTCGCATGAGACATCAGAACCACACACAGCATAGTGAAGGGCTGTTTTATCATCCTCATCTCGAAGACCTGCATGGGCTCCATGTTCAGTGAGAAAGGTGACTGCATTCAAGTGACCATATTCACATGCCATCATCAAAGGGGTGCTTTTGTTCTTTGCACGTGCATTGACATCAGCTCCTGTTTCAATCAAACAACTCAAAATCTCACATGAACCATGGAATCTGCAAGCATGGTGGAGAGCTGTGTAACAATATTCGTCTTTAGGAGACACATTAGCTCCATGTTCAATGAGACAGGTGACTGCATTCGAATGACCATATTCACATGCCATCATCAAAGGGGTTCTTTTGATTTTTGTACGAGCATTGACATCAGCTCCAATTTCAATCAAACATTTCAGAATCTCCAGTGAGGCATCAGAACCAGGTACAGCGTGGTGAAGGGCTGATCGACCATATTTGTCTTGAAGATTCACATTAGCTCCATGTTCAATGAGAAAGGTTGCTACACTAACGTGGCCTTTTTCAACCGGTGTCATCAGAGGGTTTTGAGTTCCAAGACATCTCGAAACATCTCGTGTGGTATCACAACCATGTACAGCATAGTGAAGAGCTGTTTTACCATCTTTGTCTTGAAGATCCACAATAGCACCACATTCCATGAGAAAGGTCACTGCATTAATGCAGCCCATTTTGGCTGCTATCATCAGAGGGGTCAGCATTCTTTTTGACGATGCATTGATATCAGCGCCATTTTTAGTCAAACAATTTAAAACTTCACAGGAGGCATCAAAACCACGTACAGCACAGAAAAGAGCTGTTTCACCATAATTTTGGTCCTGAAGATCCACATCAGCTCCATTTCTAATAAGAAATGTTACTGCATTTATATGACCCTTTTCAGCTGCTATCATAAGAGGGGTGTGGTTGATATTACCACCTGCACTGACATCAGCTCCCATTTCAATCAAACAACTCAAAATCTCACATGAGACATCAGAACCATAAACAGCATGGTGAAGAGCTGTTTTGCCATTTTTGTCTTGAAGATCCACATCAGCTCCAAATTTAATGAGGAGAGTGAGTGCATTTATGTGACCCTTTTCAGCTGCTATCATAAGAGGGGTGAGTTTGTCATTACTACCTGTATTGACATCAGCTCCCTTCTGGATCAAACAACCCAAAATCTCAAACAAAAAATTAAGACTACCTAGTGCATAATGAAGAGCTGTTTTACCATAGCTGTCTTGAAGACCCACATTAGCTCCTTGTTTAATGAGGAAAGTAACAACATTTATGAGACTATCTTCAGCTGCTATCATCAGAGGGGTCATTCCATCATTTAAACATGCATTAATGTCAGCTCCCTTTTCCAACAAACAACTAAAAACCTCAGGTGAGCTATTATTAATACAAGCATAGTGTAGGGCTTTATAGCCACATTCATCTGTAAGAGTAACATCAGCTCCACGTTCAGTAAGAAAGGTGACTGCACTTACGTGACCATTTTCAATTGCCATCATGAGAGGCGTGACTGAAGAACACGCATTGACATCAGCCCCATTTTCAAATAAATATCTCAAAACTTCTAGAGAGCCATGATCAATACAAGCATAGTGAAGAGCTGTAAAGCCACTGTCATCTGTAAGAGCCACATTGGCTCCGTACTGAATAAGAACGTTAACAGTATTTGTGTGACCATTTTCAATTGCCAACATCAGAGGGGTGCAGTTATGATCTGCCGTACATGCATTGATATCAGCGCCATTTTCAATGAAGAACATCAAAATATCAGTATATCCATTAGCGGCAGACAAAAACAATCCTTCCTGAGCTTCTATGTCTACGCTGTACGGCATAAGTACCTTAACGCCGGCGAGATCTCCATTCTGAACTGCAGTTACAAGCGGAGGCTTGCCAACCGGAAATTCACCGGAGCCAATGATTGATCTGCAGATAACACGGAAGCTCTTTCACTTCTATTGATATTTTCGAGAATCTCATTGAGTAAAACAGCATCTCTAGCCATTAAGGCCTCAAATATTTCTTTGGTTCGATTATCAGCCATAGGAGAGTGAAAATGAACAATTTCGTATGTGAGAATGAGGGAAATATTAACAAGGCATGCGCGCATGCTCATGCTTTTTGCACAAAAATACGTTCCGCTGACAAAGTGTGGAATTTCAGTCCCACCATCGACATTTTACGATTTCATTTGCAAAATACAGAAAATTGCCATGAGTTCTGAAGTGCAGCAACAAATTTAGCAGGATTGGGAGAACAGAGAATTCATAGAAATTGTCTCTGAGGGAATAAAAAAGATTGCAGAGTTCCTAAACGACTTTGGTAAGCCAAAGATTTTCTCACTTTGACTGACTACTGCAATGAGCAATATATTTGTTTACTACTTAAAAAGTCAAGTTATATAGCGTTAGGAACATAAAATGTTATGCCTACACTGATATGTACATGTTTTGGGAGTATGCTATGACTAAATCTTAATTTAGAACCGATGCATGGACACTTTTTAATACCACATCTCTTCAAATGCCAGATATGTCATGCAGATCAAGATTAGCAAAGATAAATGATCAACTAACATCACTTGAACAGAGAGTAGAATTTATTGAAGCCAGAGTAAGTAGCCCCTGGGCCTAGTTCAGGGACACGCAACGACGGTTTCAAAATACACTGGAATCTTTTTTTACGGTATATAGGGCTCATCCTTGCCTTGGTGTAAAAACCTGTGAAATTCACAATTTGATGTTAAACAATGAATACAAGAAGCCACTGAAAAGTCAACACAATAGAGCCAAGGAAAAATAATAGCTAAAAAACAAAGGAAAACTTCTCAGGTTTTTACACCGAGGTAAACCCCTATCCAGAGTACTTTTTAAAATACTCTGAATCGATCTCAAGAATTGCATTTTAAATGGTGCAATGAAATGTTTTTGCCTGTTTGGTCAGCCTAGGGGAACTTGAGTCATTTTGAATCTACAAGGGCCCAGTATTATTTTCCCCAAAATTTTAAATGCAATTAAGTGTATTACGGAAGTGAGCATTTTTCTGATTTCTTCTGTTTGTCCATCACATTAATTATTTTTTGAATCCGAACATTTTAGGTTTCCTTTTTGTATGAAAACTAGCCTAACCTGGGTCGTGAAAGGTAAAGAATTGAACTTCATTTGGAAAAAAGTAGAAAAGCTTTGAAAAACTCTTCATGAATAGAACGGTCATCTAGAAAATTTTAAGCGTCCTCAAACAATAGAAAATTCTAGGCAATATTAATTGCTTCTCTGAACAGATATTTTACAGAAACAGTCGTTGGGTGTCCCTTCAAATCCCTGGACCAAAATTTAACCCCCCAAAAATCCCATGATGCAGAATTTCTGAGCCATAAAAATTTATTTGCGGAACTACACAGCCGGGATACGTGGGAACTAGCACCAATCTTCAGATTGGATGTGAAGTATATGAAATGAATTCATATTTGAACTGCGGTTGTAGATGAAAGTGAAGAATGACCATCGCAGTGAATTTTCCAATTCAAGCAATTGGAAAGAAGAAGCCTGAAAAAAAATCAGGGCTTGGAAAATTCACTGCGATGATCATTCTTCACTTTCATTTTTTAATCTTCAGATTGTTATGAATACTCCAAAAAATCCGTACTTAAAATAATATGAAGCTACCCAAAAAAATACTTGCGAAAATTTTCCAACCCAAAAAATCCCGAAATCAAAAATTTCAAACCCCAAAATTCCTTCAATCATCCCTGTCACTTGAAATCTGGAGTACCCCCCAGGGGTTCCAGCATAGTGCCCCTGTCCAGGGTTTTCTTTGAAAGACTTTACAAGTAGTAGCAGATCCAGACCTTCAGATAAGGTGAGGGAAGGGTTATCCGGATCCTGAGATAAGCAGGGGGCCCGGTCTAAAATGATACATTCAAAATTGAATCCATCATCATTATCGAGAGAGACCTGGATTACAGGAATTGAGACTGCGGTGATATTATGGTGTAATCAGCAAATATGCTAAAATCAGGCTGCCATCAATCATAAAATCGATTCTCTGTCTGCAACAAAATACTTCACCGCGGATGCATTTGTTGCCTGCAAGATGAAATGTGAATTTTTGAGTCAAAATTATTATTCTTTGACTTTTGAGCAAAAGGAAAAGTCTTCTAAGTCTCGTAGACTCTCTCAACCTCAAAAACACCCAGCTATTCTGAGTTATTTCTTTATATAAGACCTCACAGATGATTATTGCGGTGCAGGCCATAACAATCATTCAAAGGTCAAGACACTCTTGTTCCAATGCTCCAATGTAAGTTTCACTTCATAGATCGTCAAAACATGCATGATTAGATTACAAGTGACAGAAGGTCATATACGCTTGATCAGATTGCAATCTGTGTATTGCATTCATTCTTAGTGGGAGTCGAAACAAAGCTACAATCGGCAACAAAATGAGTTGAGACACTTTGCCTTAAACCAGGGTTTTTTCACGTTTTACTGGCTTCAAAAAGAGGAAATATAGCTTTTCCTCCCCCATCCCCTCAATGCAATGAGGTCTTAGTAGTTTCACTGTGCGGTACCCAAAATGCCAACTCGGTTTCAGTGTCTTTGTCCATTACTTTTTTTTTTTATGTTCTGTTGTTCTCTCGTAACAAATATTAATTAGAAAGAAAAAAACAAAAACAAAAACAAACAAACAAAAAACATATTTGGCATTTTACTGACCCTTAATTAATTTATCTGTGTCGGAGAGGTTCGTCTATTTCATTATTCATTTCCATCTTGTTTTTCAATTTGACAGGATCAACTCTCTGAGCGGCAATTTTTACCTAATTAGCCTGGTGGAGTTAAGTACACTATGGACTGATATTTCAGCCGGGGTAACTACCATTTATAATAAAAGGCTTTATTTTAGACCCTGTTTACATGGAGTGGGGAACCCCGGTCTAGTGGGGTAAGTTTCTTTTGTTTTGTGTCCCCCAGAGCGTGAAAACAAAAGAAACCAACCCCACTAGACCGGGGTCCCCCACTCCATGTAAATAGGCCCTTAGTTCGATCTCGTCCCCAGGGGCTTCTCGGTTTTGAAAACGAGAAGACCCTAGGGACGAGTTTGCAAATTTTCAGACAAATAGTCTCTAGAAGAGTAAAGACACTTAGCAATACAAATTTAGCAGCTTCAAGGCATATTAAAAGAGAAAAGGCTCACTTCTGATTGACATTGCATCACTCAAAAACGCCTTTGCTTATCCCCCTACTAATATAGGAAGACTAACATGAGTGAGTCTTTAAAATAATCCATTGACCCTTGAAATCTTTTGATAGTATTAGTGGTACAAAAGATCTGAATGGAAATAACTGACAAGTGACTTTTGCAGGAATCGTATTAAAGTTGGCCCAACTTTTTCCAGTTTCAATCCATTTTCATCCCTGCTTATAAGTTCCAGGCGGTAAAACGCCATGGAGAGGCCCTTTGGAACAAACTATCTCAACTAATTTTGTCAGTCATTGTCGTTAAAATGAACAGAAAACGGTGCACATTGCTGTTTGCAATGTGCACAGAATTAAGTCTCCACCACATTTCTGGATTTTAAAATCTAATGAAAACTAAAACAAGAGATTTCAACAGTTAATCCCAGACAGTAGTAACAGACGAAAGAAAAAATAGTCAGTGAATAGTAAATTACAAAACCAGACCATTAATTGTTGGAATTCAATTAGTACATTGCCTGCGCAGCTGGCGTTATTGTATGACTAACGTTTTGGCGGCAGAGCCGTGATCCAAAAAAAGGAGTGGGGTTGAGGCATTTGAAATACCGCCTGCTCACCAGCGTGCAGAGAAACGGATTGTTTGAGGGCTATACATTTGTCAATCATAGTAGATGATCCTTCGCATGATCTTTCTTCGCGCAGCCAGAAGGTTTAACAAATTCTCCGTGGAAATATATCTTGTACTCTTGTGAAAGTTACCAAATTTTACCTTGAAATTGACACCACACAATCTACAAAAGTCATCAACGCTCTCCTCTTTGGCTTTTCTTCCTTTAACTGGCTTTGTAGGAGTATCTCCCCTCGATTTTAAGTATTCCCCGTGAGAGGTCGCCATGCGCGCAGTAAACAGAGCGAGACATTTCGCGCAAAAATAATCGGAACTTTAGAATTACAGGTTTCACTCTGATTGGCTGATTTAGTTGGGATTAGTTGAGGCGATAAAAGTGGGCGCCATTCGAAAAATCATGGTTCTCTGGCAGGCGGTATTTCTCGTGCCTTCGCCGCTCATGGCGGCTCTGCCGCCAAATCTCACTCGACTAGTACACAATACCGCCAGCTACACAGGCTAATTAGTACAAAGACACGTTTTAGCTTAAAGGATAGCAAATATTGCGAAATAATCCTTAACATATCTTTTGTTGTGTCTGTTTGCATTATTTTGAAGTTAAATCCAGATGGGATGAAATTTGTTCTGGGTGGTGAGATGGCCATGTGGACTGATGATTACTGCTTTGTTGATCAGTGCTTTCTGACACATGGTGGATGTTTGGACCCGAGAGCGATTCACAGTTTACTGAGTCAGTGAGTGGAATTGTAAGTATCTCTGGTTGTAATTACGGTACATTTCCTCTTATGAGCCTCCCCCCCTAACTGAAAAGCGCCCCCACTGAGTTACCGGCCCATTTCCCTGTAAACAAAACAGTACATCCAGTTATAAGCCCCCCTCCCCCCACTTATAAGTTCCTCCAGTTACCGGCCCATTTCCCTGTAAACAAAACAGTACATCCAGTTATAGGCCCCCCTCCCCCCACTTATAAGTTCCTCCAGTTACAGGCCCATTTACCTGTAAACAAAAA